TATAGAGATGTTTTATTTTCACATTTTATTAGCACATTGTGGACATCTTTGTAGTTAATTATTACTAAGTGGTTGGTTTTTGTTCTTTTTAATTCTTTAAACTCAGAATTATAGGACATTTGGACATTGACTAATAAAAAAATGTTAAAAAATTAAAATTTCAGACACATTGGTTTTGTATATTAATGTTTTGTTTTATTATTTAAAATGGGTTCCTCGATTAATTTCAGCCAGCTTGCCTAGCATCAGGAAAAAAAATTCCAGCTTGTTAGTAGCAGTGAAGTACAGGGGTGAATGACTGTTTCTGAAGAAAGTCAACTTTGCCTGTATTTTTCATTTATCATTAATTTTGAGTCAGTCCTTGTATTGGTGAAAAGGCCTCTTTCAAGTTCTTTTAAGGAGAGGCTGAGAAATTTATGACTTTCAGATTTATCTCTTTAGTCATTCTGACAGCTTTATTTGTTGCTGAAAAGATGTATGTGTATGTTATCTTGTAGTTGTTTTGGGTGTGTGTGATGTGTGTATATGTATATATTTGTGTGACTGTATGTATGTGGGAAACTTCTGCAAGCATGTCTGTCTAGTGTGGTTGAGAAATATGGGTGGGAGGTGATCTATGGGATTATATATTAATTCTATCTGTGCTGTTTAGTCTATTATTGTCTGTCTGGACAAAGTGTTTTGAAGTGCAAAATCCATTTGTCATCATGTTCTTCTAGTCTTATTTTTGTGTCTATTTCTATTCTTTCAATAATAGTGAATTTTGCATGGCTATTAAAATCATGATTTTCTAGGCAGAAATTTTCTTCTACAGGTAATAATCTTTTATGGGGAGCCGACAATCCAATTCTGATAATTATTAATTCAATAGTGAAAGGGCCATTCAAATTTTCCCACATATTGTTTCTCGCATAGTATGCATTCTAATAAGTAAATTATGTTATGACAGAGTTGTGGTAAATTTTGAAAGTAGTGTTAGTGACTGAGCTAGTGAACACAAATCTTCATATATATGTGTGTGTGCGTGTTTGTTAGGAAGTTCAAATAGTAAAAACACTTGAAGCAATACTCATACAACAAAAAGAACCAACAATAAATAAAACTATTATAACTTAACAGCCTGCATCCATAGTAAATGTATATATAAAAACCAAAATAAAACAAGTCACACCTCACTTACATCACAACACTCCTTACTTATGTCACAGTACTCACTTGTTCCATGAAACTCACCAACTGTCTCTACCTATCCTGATACTGACTTAAAAAATCAAAAGCTTGAATCATATTTCCTGTACTTTTCTTCTAAAATGAACATCAAACAATTCCTGACAGAATTTTACCCATGTCTGATAAGGATTATTTGTATCTTGGAAAAGCTGATCATTAATATTAATCAACACAATATGTCTATCATTTTCAATAGCATTTGCCTTAAAGAACATTTGCTGTTTAAATACTCAGAATATATACATAATAGATATTTAATCAGCAAAAATTCCATAAACAAGTTTTATTAAATACAACTGAAAAGATTTGTTTAATTTTTTATTGCATTTTTCCAGTTCTCAAGTAATTTGTTGCATGTCCGCATCAAAAGTTTTTGATAAATAAACTGTTCAAAGTAAATGATTTTTTTCCTTGGACAACTTATCTATAATTTTGATCTATAGATGTGAAACAATATTAAGAAATTGGAAATATACAATAAAAGAGTAAACAGGCAGACATATATATATATATATATATATATATATATATATATATATATAGAGAGAGAGAGAGAGAGAGAGAGATAAAGGTGACATATATATACATGATGAGATGGGGACCTGTACTGCTTTTGGGCTAATCATCAGTCTGAAAAATACAAAAGTCATGTATATGCCCCAACCTGGGCTGCCTTTCATAGAACCCAACATTATCATTAACGGATCCAGGCTGGAAGTAGTTGACACTTTTGTATATTTAGGCAGTGCACTCTCTAGGGATGGCTCACTGGATGCACAAGTGAATTACCACATTGAACAAGCAAGTCAAACATTCAGAAAACTTGAAAAAAGCATAGTCTGACCATAACATCTTAAGCACAAATATTGGTATCTACAAAATATTTGTCCTAACCACCCTTTTATATTCCTTTGAAGTGTGGGTCACCTATCAAAGGTACATTATGGTCTTAGAGTGTTTTCATTAGCAGTGTCTGAGATGAATCTTGGACATTAGTTGGAAGTCTTGTACACCAGACACAAAAGTCCTTCGGCTCACAAACAGAGAAACTTCTTCTCTGTAATTAAATGTGCTGGACAAGTCATCTGACATATATGGAGGATGATAGATTGCTCAAAAGACTTTTTTATGGTGGGTTGGTACAAGGTAATTGACACACTCATAAGCACCATAAATGTTTCAAGAATGCAGTTAAATATAAACTAAAGATGCTTGGCATTAATGTTGAAGACTGGGGAAACTGTTGCTGAAGATGGATCAGGCTGCAGAAGGTTTGGGAATGCTGCAACAATTTTGAGCAAAAGAGAATTAAGCATTCCAACAAAAAGTGCACCATTAGGAGGGGAGAAATAGAATCCACCCCCAGAGCTATTAGGATACCAACACATTTGCACTTCCACTTTGTGGAAAAGTCACCCCCTCGACGGTTGGTTTAGTCAGTCCCATGAGATCACACCAGAGTGGTCAGCTGTAAATTCCTGTGAATACAAACCTACCAGAAAGACCTGCATGTTACTTGTACAAGTTTTGTGACAAGGTTTGTAAATCTGTTGCAGGACCCAAACACAAAGATTGTACACCAGGACAGGCAAGTTTCCAACAAATGTAACACAGACAAACTTTATGTTTGCCATGTATGTAAGAGAGGTTGTAAAAGTGAAGCTGTCCTTATGAATCACTTATGGACCTATATGGGAGCATTCAAATATAAATGATGGAAGTAATAAAATTCTGAATCAAAAACACAAAAAAAGCTACCAAGAAGTGACAATCATCATATATATTTGCACACATACACACATAGATTTATATACTTACTTTGTTACCGAGCCACCAAAACAAAGCAAATGGTCCAGTTTCTGAGAGCACTAACGCTTGGCTATCTAACAAGTACCAAATTGTTTGCAAGACTGTCAAAGCCGCTTGACCAGGGAACCATAAACGGGGGTACCAAGGGACAGGATTTAGCCCTCTGAACACACATTCACTGGCACAGTATGTACAGTTTTGGTTTGATTCAAATGAAATTTACGACACACTTGCGGCTTACTATCGCCTTTATGTGTGTCAAATTTCAGAATTTTTCGGCAAAAATAACCGTAGCTGCACGCGGATCAATCTTTTTTGTAACTTCCTTACACACACACAGCTGCGTACAACCGAGTCCGCGTGTCGATACCGAGACTGCTGCAAGCCCATTGGTCGCTTTCACAGAGCTTGACCTTGGGGCCTGTCCAATCATCGCGCAGGATTTCTCACACGTTATAGCGCCCGCGTGATCGCGCGTCAGCTTATGTGTAAGTGCGCTCAAGGTCAACCACCTCTATTGCGTGACTCGGGCGTGCTTTCACACTTTTGCGTTTATTGTTGCCCGCGTGCACGCACTTGGCTTACTTTATTCGCCTACTTCGGACACCGCAAGTTGTTGATTACGTGTTCTAGCTGCTTTTTTGTTTTATAGTTCCAACCCAACCCCACACACGTTAGCCAATTGTACTAAAAACCCATTTCCTTTTGGATTTACCCTTGGTTTACCTTTTTAAATTTCCACTTTTTTAGTTTCGAGTTCCCCTTTAGTAACATCTGAACTCATTTTACTGGGTGTTCCCCTTTTTGTGTCTACGTTAGCAGTGCACGTTTTTTCGTTTTGGATTTGTCGAAATCTCTTTTTAAGCTTTACCCTCTTTGACGTTTTTACTGTTTGGATGCCACCTAAAAGGAGGAAACTTTTGGGACGGCGCACGGCAGCTGCCTCCGCTGCTAGAGCAGCGAGGGCGAGTGAAACCCCTGAACAGACTTCTTTGCGTCTTTCACGGATGGCCTCGAGCTCAGCTGCTCGCTTATCTACGGAAAGCGCCGCTGCGCGGACTGAAAGGTTGGCTTCAGCGGCTTCAACCATGTCCGCACGCCGCGCCAGGCTTTCAGTTGAAGAACGTTCACTTCAGAATTCACAGGACGCAGTCCGCGTGGCTAGGTTGAGGGCTTCACAGTCCCCAGCACAGAAAACCCTTCGTCGTTTGCGGGATGCCACCGCCAAAGCTTGCTCCAGGGGTTTAGAAAGCCCCGAACAAACAACTTCACGTCGTCTTAGGAATACTAGGGCTACAGCCGCCTCTAGAGCTTCGGAACAACCCCAAGAAACCGCTCATCGTCGCTTTAGAAATGCCCTATCCACCGCGTCTGCCAGAGCCTTAGAAAGCCCTGCACAGACCACTGTTCGTCGCGTTAGAAATGCCCGCTCCACTGCATCTGCTAGAGCCCTAGAAAGCCCTGCACAAACCACTGTTCGTCGCGTTAGAAATGCCCGCTCTACTGCGTCTGCCAGGGCTGCAGAAAACTCTGAAGTACGCCGTCAACGGCTCGAAAACATTAGCAACTTCGAGCTTCTTTGAATGGCGTAACTTCGCCGTCTGCGTCATTTTGGTCAAATGCCGCATACAATTATGACTGCACTGTCAACTATTCCGCTAGGAGAGACGTACAAATAGGGGCCATGGATAAAGTTTGCACTTTTTGCAACGCAAAAAAGTGGGCCGGTGAGCAACTTGAGCTTTGTTGCTCTGGGGGCAAAATCAAACTCCCTTCTTTAGACGAACCTCCCCAGCCGCTTAGGGACCTCCTTCTGGGTACAACTTCGGAGTCAACGCATTTTCTTGAAGCAATACGGAAGTACAACTGTTGCTTCCAGATGACATCTTTTTGGTGCGAAGGCTATTAGTGAGGGGGGATGGATGCCTACTTTCAAAGTGCAAGGCCAGGTTTACCACTTAATGGGATCACTTTTGGCTGATCAGGGAGAGCCACCTCAGTTCCTACAAATTTACTTTCTCGCTGACTACAACGAGCAGGTTGATGCGCGTCTCGGCATTCTGCCTAGCGATATTCCGTCGGTCCCCGTAGAGACATTTCTGTTCCGTCTACAAGACATGCTTCACGAAACTAACAGTTACATCCGAAGCTTAAAGTTTGCATTGCAAAACAACTCTTCGCCCTCTTTCAGTGTTGTCATCGATGCAGACAGACGGCCTCACGGTGAGCATGAGCTTCGCTTCAATGCTCCTGCATGTAATGAAGTCGTCGCAGTCATCCACGGTGAGGAGCATAACAGCCGTGACATTGTCATAAGGTACCGGGGCGGTGGTCTGCGCCGCATCAGTGAAACCCACCGTTCATACGACTGTCTCCAGTACCCCCTTCTTTTTCCATACGGAAGCGATGGGTAACACTTTAAAATTCCAATATACCAGGCAAGCAGCGATTCCATGTCGACCTCAAAGACGGTCTCCTGTAGGGCTTACTACGCCTACATGTTTATGGTTAGGGAGGGTGAATTTAACCACTTGCACAGGTGCCGTCAACTATTTCTTCAATTCGCTGTTGACATGCTGCAAAAATGGAGTCGGAGAGGTTAGGATTCATCAAGTTAAACCAATCCAAACTTAGAACCGACTCCTACATTCACCTTCGTGATGGTCTGCGTTCTGATGGTGACCCATGCAATCTCGGCAAACCGTGCATTTTGCCTTCCTCTTACACTGGTGGCCCTCGATACATGCATGAAAGGACACAAGACGCAATGACCTATGTCCGTCATTACTAGAGGCCTGATTTGTTCGTCACGTTCACGTGCGATCCAAAATCGGTTGAAATCACACGCGAACTTTTTCCAGGTCAGCAGTACTCACACTGCCCTGACCTAATTGCCCGCGTTTTCCGGTTACAGCTGTGTAAGCTTTATGTATTTAATCCTTAAAGGGCAAGTCATCGGACGCGTTAAGTGTCATATGTATACAGTGGAATGGCACACAGTTTGCCTCCTGCCCACGTTCTGCTGTGGCTCAACGATAAGGTTGACGCAAACAAAATAGACGATTTTTTTCTGCTGAAATTCTGCTGGATCCTTTGCTCCACGAAATCATTAAAAACAATATTATACACGGCCCCTGTGGCGCGAATTACGAAAAAAGGTCATGTTGGTCAAGCGGCCCCACTTGCGCAAAGGGTTACCCCCGTAAGTTTATCCCAGAAACGCAGACTGCGACTGTAGAGACGTAGAAGCCTCGCCGAGGGCGGCAGAACTGTGACAGTTAAGGGACACACTCTGGACAATCGTTGGGTGGTGCCTTATTGCCCGCTGCTGTCCAAGACATTTGGAACCCACATAAACGTTGAATACTGCAACTCGGTTAAGTCAATAAGTCAATAAAGTACATCTGCAAGTACGTTAATATATCCGGCGCGACAATTGCGTTGACGAGGTGGCCGATTACGTGGCTGGACGCTATATCAGCAGTAGCGAGGCCTTTTGGCGAATTTTCGGATTCCCCCATACACCAAAAGGCTCGAGCCATTGTGCAGCTTGCTGTTCACTTAGAAAATGGACAGAGGATGTACTTCACCGAACAAAACGCCCAGCAGGTTGCGGAAAACCCTAAAGACACAACCCTAACGGCTTTCTTTAAATTATGCTCAACAGATGCTTTTGCCAAAACATTGATATACCCCCAAGTCCCGTCCTACTACGTGTGGTCAAACAACCGGTGGGTTCGGCGAAAGGCTGGCGACCCTGTCGAGGGTTATCCCGATGTAAGGTCTAACTCTTGCCTTGGACGCGTTTATACTGTGCCCCCCCCCAGCCAGCAGGAGTGCTTTTACCTCCGCCTTCTACTTCATGAAATTGCTGGGCCAACGAGTTTCACAGATATTCGCACTGTCAACGGCATAGAGTGCCAGTCTTATAGAGAGGCATGCTTCCGTTTGGGATTGCTTGAAGACGACTCCCAATGGGATGCAGCCATGGCGGAGGGTGAACTTCTCAGAACGCCATCACGGCTTCGAACGCTGTTCGCCATTTTGCTTTTGCGATGCGAACTAAGCGATCCTCTGTCGCTCTGGCTAAAGTACAGAGAATCCATGTCAGAGGATGTGCTGTTCTCCGTTCAGCGTAACAGCCCAGGAGTTGAATGCGGTTTCACTGACTTCATATTCAACAGAGCGCTGGTGGCCCTAGAAGATGTTGTTTTCGAACTGGGAGGTGCCTCTTTACCAACTTACGGTTTACCACCACCGCTCAGAGACGGTTTTGACACTGTACCAACTGAGTTATTGCGGGAAACATCCTACTCCATCGAGGGGCTGAACGCATACATTACCGAAAACGAGCCCAAACTTCTACCTGAGGGTTGCTTTCACTACCATAAAAAACAGGGCAAACGGCTCCAGTGGAAGTATATACTTTTATAATGCGCCCGGAGAAACTGGCAATTTTTTTGTTATTGAATTAGTCCTGGCAGAGGTACGGCGTCGTGGGGAGATCGCTATTGCGGTCGCATCTTCCGGGATTGCTGCAACGTTGCTACCGGGAGGTAGAACCGCTCATTCGGCTTTTAGGTTGCCGCTTGATCTATGCCGGTCACAAACTCCTCTCTGCAACATAACAAAGAATTCGCCACAGGCTGAAGTTCTGCGGAGATGCAAACTTATAGTTTGGGATGAGTGCACGATGGCACACAAGGGCGCCCTTGAGGCACTTGACCGAAGTCTCCAAGACATCCGCGACTCCTCCGACCCCATGGGTGGAGTAACCCTTCTCCTCGCAGGCGACTTTAGGCAGACTCTACCTGTTATTCCTAAAGGTACACGCGCTGACGCTGTCCGCGCCTGCCTGAAGTCGTCTGCCCTTTGGCGCCACGTGGAGACTCTTAAACTGAGCACGAACATGCGTGCCTACTTGAATGGGGACTCCAGATCCGCTGACTTCGCACGGGACCTTCTTGCTCTTGGGGAGGGGAAAATGCCATCTGACACACAGGGTTTTGTGCAGATGGATCAGCTTGCCACCACTGTTGAATCACCGGATGAATTGATGAATGCAGTCTTCTACAACCTATCCACTAATTTTGCCGATGCCGATTGGCTTGCTGGGAGGGCCATATTGGCACCGAAGAACTGTACAGTTGATTCCATCAACCTTAAACTGTTGGATTGCATTCCCGGGCAATGTCATGTTTATAAGTCCATCGACAGAACTTCCGATCCATCTGAATTAGCTGAGTATCCCATAGAAGTTTTGAACTCCCTTCAGCCGTCCGGACTCCCACCTCATATTCTTCGGCTCAAAGTTGGTGCTCCGATTATGCTAATCAGGAATTTGCTCCCACCTAAACAGTGCAACGGGACTCGCCTCATTATTAAATCCCTTTCTCCGAACCTGATTGAGGCGACCATTGCAACTGGCTGCGGCAAGGGGGAAGTCGTTCTGATTCCCAGGATGCATCTTCTGCCGTCAGACGCAAGCATACCAATCAACTTTCGTCGCTCACAATTTCCCAGTGAAGCTTTGCTTTGCTATGTCCATTAACAAATCACAAGGACAGACGCTTAGCATCGCAGGTCTGCATTTACGTGAGCAGTGCTTCTCTCACGGCCAACTTTACGTTGGGTGCTTACGAGTTGGGTCTAAGGACAGGGTTTTCATTTACTCTCCCAACAACTGTGGTAGAAACATAACCTACACGGAGGTCCTGTAGACAACCCGCCCGGTAGCGATTAAGCGCCATGCACACATATGCAGTCCGATTGCATGGCAATTTTTTTGTTTTTTGTCATATTGGTTTTAACGTTAGGTCGTCGTAGTCTCCACTTGCCATTACTAAGACATCTTTGTAAAGGTTATCCAGCTCTTTTGCCGCCTTCTGACTTTCATACCTTCACCAGCCATCATCGCGTTTGTTTGTACACTATGATAACCTCACCGTATTCAGTTGCAACACAAGCTGCTAGACACATGAACACCGGCATTAGACACATGAACACCGGCATTAGACACACTGTTTGTTGTTGGAGTTTATTTGGTTGTTGCCGAGGATGATCGCTGTTTGATTGCAGTTGATGTTGGTTGTTGGAGTTGATGTTGGTTGTTGCACCGGCATTGCTCCACTAAAGTTCCGGTTTCATTAACAGTTGATCGGAGCACCTGCAGTTGGTACCAGTGCATACAAGCACATTCACACTTGAGAAGCTTCGGAGTTCGTTTAATTGTTACAAAAGTCGCGTGCGTCTACGAAATTCAGGCTTCTGCTTCCATATACACTTTACGGCTATGGGTGAAACATGTCAGCCATACGGCTCTATTGTTTTGTTTGTAGTCGTGTAAAAAAAAACTAAAAACACACGCCAAGTACGGCGACCCCGGTCGGTTTTCATGAGCTCTCAGCGTGATGTTGACTGCGACTGAAGAGAAGGCACTTTTTCATTGCAATTGAGGCGCTCGGCCGTACGGCGACCCCGGTCCGGTTCCATGAGCTCTCACCGTGATGTTGACTGCGACTGAAGAGATGGCACTTCTCCATTGCAATTACGATGCTCGGCCTTACGGCTACCCCCGTTGCGGTTTTAAGGGCTCTCAGCCGCGATGTAGATAGTGACAGATCAGAATAAAGGAAGTTATATCACAGAAATTTTCTTACCATGACATCCCGTCACTGTTCGCTCTTCTCTCGGTTTTACGGTTCTGTTTTGTGGTCATGGCAGCACCCACCTTTTGGGCATAAGACGCGTCTTTTAGTTTGACAAGCAGTTTGTTTGTGATTGGGCACGGCGCATACTTTATGTCTATAGCTTCCTCACGGCACGTTTATCCCTTCAATCCCTATGTATGTTGCAAATGAATCGTGGTTTCTTGACTACTTACCACAAGTGCTTCCAGTAATGCTTAACGGTCCAATTGGTTAAAGCAGTAACTGCTGCCAGCTTTTACTCACAGATGTCTTAGTAATGGCAAATGACTGATGCTACAACGGCTTTCCGTTACTTCCTTCGATACCTTCGAATACTTGGGCCTGCATGATGTCTGCTTAAACTTTGTTTGTATTGCGTTTCAACGTTTTGTAGAAACTTAGTTCCTACCTATGGTCTAATAGAAATAACCCAAAAGTCTATCGTATCCATGGGAGTACATGATTCAGTGGAAGCATGTGAACTCATAGGGATACTGTTACTATGGAGACTCAGATTTATCTCTGACATAAAAAACAATGGAATATACAGAGATGATGGGATAATCTTCCTCTATAAATTGAGAACAAGACAAGCGGACTGGATGAGAAATGACCTAACTAATTTCTTTAAGGATCACAACCTAATATTACCATCAATACTAAGGCTAAAGTGATTAATTTTCTAGATGTTACATTAGACCTGAGTAAAGGATCTGTATAAACCA